TATTAATGACAGAAATACATTGTGTTTACGTCTGTCCGAAACAAACCTAAACTATATTAGCGCAAAGCTGTGTTAACTTCTCCATAGAGTTGAAATTTCTGTACAAATTTAGGCTAAATTATAGTGATGCTACAATGCGCTTGAAGAATTTACTGCTCTTAACAATAATCTTTAAACTTCAATCAGATACGTCTTTTATGCTTCCTGGAATATATGAAGTTAATGTGTGGGAAGTAGCATAGATTTGATTGGCATATTCACGGCTATACGACCCATTGATGGGTCGTATGTACTGCCATTTTGACCACAACACGATTCACTGGTAGGTCCTATCTCTGGTAAAGCTTGATCCCTAACGAACGGTCGGTTGGTTTACTTCGCAAGATGGATGCAAAAGCGGTCTCCGAGCACCTTTCATTACTAAAGCTCCTACGCCTGCGCACGCCTCGCTTACATCAGCAGCCGCCTTCGTGTGGGACTAGCCTTCATGTATTCTTCAGCTAGCATAAGTTTGCTATTTTTCACGTTCATTCTTGCGATACATAGAATCATGTATTCTGGTGACTCTTACTCGGAACGATAAAGGGAAGCGCATTCTTGGCCGAGACATCATGAGCTTAGGAGCCATGTTGGAATCACAACTACGAAGTTGTTTATCATGACGACCACTTTCCGATCTTAAATTTCTATCAAAAAAAATCTCATGCTAAGGTCTAACGTGTAATTCACAATCAGTTCCGTTGCTCAACTGGGAAACGTAATCAAACGTTTACATATCTCAGGTACAAGTCTCCACGCGTTAAATAAAAATAGAGATTTGGCTGTTAAATGTGATAAAATAGATGGGAAGTTGTTACATACGAACTCCATAGAAGGAATTTTAACACTTTTCTTCGTTCAAGTTCAATGCGTAAATGCAGCATGTAAGTGCAAAAAAGCAATAAGCATATTGATTAGAGACCTATCTTCGTTCGCTTGTTGAACTGGGATTGCCATAAGGTGTGGGCCTGTCTCTCCACGTGTATATCGACATGAGCGCTGCATCTGGAAGTGGTAAGAGACAATCTCACCTTTCAGTTCTTGCTTTGCTAACGTTTAGGCGAATTATGGATTGCAGAGAAACACTGGATAACGTTACCAGCGATAACGCTCATCAACAGCCGGCTACTGGAATATGTGAAGGATGCTCAAATGGGTCAGTTACGAGCCATAGCATCCAATGGACATTACTCCGTATTCGTTTCGGAAAGGAGAGTTCTACAAAGACTAGTTCGATTCTTGAAGATCGCACTGAAGAAGGCAACACGGAATCAGATTTTGGACATCTGCCTCTTCGAAACACTCACTATTGAGATAAAAGCTATTCTTATAGTATGAGGCCGCTCTTTCCAGTGAATATTGTCAATCCAAAATGCGAGCGCGGCCATTCGACCGATCGACCTGATGTCACCGAATTCAACATAATCCAACTGAAAGACACTTTGCCGCGAAAGGTTGCGAATTGGTCGAGTGATAGCTACCAGACGTTAAATAGGCATAGGATATTGCAGAACGATTGGATTGTTCTTCCTCTGGCACGAAGAATTTTTATGGTGTGGCAGACAGTAGACTACATGCGCGATATCCCGTTCTTCTGCAATATTACTACGAGTTGGCGAAGTTGTATTGTGAAATAAGACTCGCTGAGATCCAGCTGAGCGTTAGGGCTTGTTGGAGCTGCATACCTGGCCAAATGACCATGTAAGAGCAACCAAATTCAGGACAGGCAAAAGAAGAATAGTCGACCGACCGCGTTGAAGATAGTAGCGAAAGACGAAGAAAACTCAGAACGTTGTTGTCAGAGCCGCGCGAAAGCACAACAGCACCATCGTGAAGGTTTATTTGAAAGAAGTGCTTACGAAGGTACAGTCTTTTTATGTAAGTGACTTCATCAATTCTGTAAATTTCCCCTATTTTCTGATTGTTCTCTTTTTTCTTCATTCTAAATACTCTGGTCATGAATGAGCGCTGGTTGCGCGATGTGCTCCTTTTCCGTCTAATTCCGTCTATTTCAGCATGTGTTTGGTCCCGACGCGAAACACTGCCATACGGCAAGACGCGATCGTGAACCACAACTTGGCGGATAGGATTGTGAAACATTATTGTTTGCCGACGCCCATCATCCATCCACTACATAAATAAACGGTGACAGCAGTTCCGCTCATTTTCTAGTTTTGTTCAGTAGCTTCTGATTGTGGTAGTCTATTGTAATCAACGTTTCCGCGCTATTATAAATCGTAACC